ATCTGCGTTGCCGTCTCTCGAGCATTGATGGTCTCAGACGACATCGACATCGAAGTCTCAGACGACATCGAAGTCTCATTCGACATCGAAGTCTCAGACGACTTCGATGTCGACAAAATTAGCGAAAGGAGAAAACATCTTTTCCAAAAGGTGCCAAGTATATTTACCCGGTCCTCCAAGGCTGGATATGACACAAGATCTTTTTAAAGTGGGGAGCGCTATGCACATACTTATGCATATAGGCCAAGGACAAAAATTGATACAAGACCCACCACTATCAGACTGGCATCAGTATTACACCGGCCAAACCTCTTTAGGTGGTTCCGCAGGGTTGGAATCCCCGGGGCTGAGCAACTTGCCCCCCCCATTTGAAATGCGGAGAGTCATAGGTCCACTTACAGCAGAGGGACGTTAACCATACCCCAGTAAACACTCATTGGTAAATTAAAAGACAAGAATTCAAATTCTACTTACCTATTCTGTTTTTTCTTGCAGCTCCGTTTAAAAAAAAAAAAAGAAAAAGAAATCGATTTTGGCATTTTTTTTCTAAAGCAGTGGTCCAGACCGATCTTTAGCCATGCCCGAAATTGGTATTTCTAAGATTCTGGTACCCCCCCCCTGTAATATTTAATTCTTATTTGTATGCCAATTACACATGTACGTATATACAAAATATTTTATGTATGTACACTATATATATATCGTATGTATTAACACACATTAATATTAAGACTCACTAGAAAACAATTCATTATTAATAAATCATTCTCGAATTAACCCCTTATTCTGTTGGTATAGTAAACCGAAGGCTGTACACCCTACGCATGCCCCACCCAAATATACCCCCACCCCACTGGTGGGGGCTCTATAAGAAGGCAAACATATCCTCTCTTTTTTTTTTAACAATTACCATGAAAGTATTTATAGAAGAGACATAGAGAGACAATCTTACAGCGGTGGGACAATAAGTGTAGCCAAGCTGCCAGATCATGACCGATAATATTGCTGATTCTTCTTTGGATCCTATCAAAGTAAATAGCAGGGGCACTATCACATGCAACTGCAATATATTCTAAGCATGGACGAGTGGCAGGCGTATAGATATGTAAGATAGATTCTGAAGAGAAATATTGTCTCACCTGACACAGTGAACCGACTTTCTTAACAGCTGCCCTAGCAATGGATTTAATACAGTATTTCCAAGTCATATCAGCAGAGAACTTTAGCGCGAGGAGGCTCAATACGGTTCTTTTCTGGAGGATAGCATCAGCCATATTGATGGAAGACAGCGTGGGGTCTCCTAAGTCTTAAGAGCGACAGAATCTACAAGGAATCAGAAACTATGAATTCCTTGACATTTCGAGGGTAAATAATGAGAAAAAGAGTATTTAACGGCCAAAGGCAACAAAAACAGCAGGAAACGTCGAGTAAACAAACTGATGAGCAACAAAAGACAGGAAGTTGTGGAGAGCCATGATCACCCATTTTACGAATATGCATGAATGGATAGCAGAACAGATAAAAAGAGAATTGGTAAAGGGCCAAGAGTTACTTAGAACAACAAAATTCAGGAAGTTGAGGAGAGGCATGATCCCGTAATTAATGAGTTTGTGTGAATGGATGGCAGAGCCTGTACAAAGAGAGATACTAAAGGGTCTAAAGTTACTTAGAACAACAAAAGACAGAACGCTGTGGAGAGCCATGATCGCCATTTAATGTGCATGTAAGAATAGATAACAACATATCGGTAAACAGTCTACAGTTACTTAAAGCAACAAAAACAGGACGTCGTGGAGAGCCATGATATTCCAGTTAACTGGTTTGTGTGAATTGATAGAACAGGTAGAAAGAGAGGAGGTAAATAGACAAAGATTACTTCGAGCAACAAAAGACAGGACGTCGTGGAGAGCCATGACCCCCCATTTAAAGAGTTTGTGCAAATTGGTGACAGAACAGGTACACAATGAGATGTTAAAGAGTCAAAAGCTACTTGGAGCAAGAAAAGACAGGAAAAGGTGGAGAGCCATGATCATCCATTTAAACTACATTCGTTAATGAATGGGAGAGCAGGTATACAGAGGGATGGTAAAAAGTTTCTTAGAGTAAAAAAAAAACAGGAAGATGTGGAGAGCCATGATCATATAATGAATATATGTGAATGGATGTCAGAATAGGGATAAATAGACATTGTAAAGAATTAGAAGTTACTTAGAGCAACTAAAAATAGGAAGATGTGGAGAGCCATGATCCCCTACTTAATGAGTGTGTGAATGAATCTCAGAAAAGGGATACAGAGGGATTGTAAAGAGTTAAAAGTTACTTAGAGCAGCAAAAGACAGAAAGATTTGGAGAGCCATAATCACCTACTTAATGAGTTTGTGTGAATGGATGGTAGAATAGGTAAAAAGATGGATGGTATAGTATTAAAAATTACTTACAGAAAGAAAATTCAAGAAGATGTGGAGAGCCATGATCACCTACTTAAAGATTTTGTGTGAATGGGTGTATAACAGGGACAAAGAGGGATCGTAAAGAGTCGAAAGTTTCTTAAAGCAATAAAAGGCAGGAAGATGTGGAGAGCCATGTTCGCCTACTTAATGAGTTTGTGTGAATGGATGGCAGAATAGGGACAAAGAGGAATGGTAAAGAATTAAAGGATTCTTAGAGCAACAAAAGACAGGAAGACGTGGAGAGCCATGATCGCCTACTTAATGATTTTTTTGTAAATAGCAGAACAGAGACAAAGAGGGGTGGTAAAGAATCAAAAGATTCTTAGAGCAATAAAAGGTAGGAAGATGTGGAGAGTCATGATCACTTAATGAATTTGTGTGAATGGATGGCAGAACAGGGACAAAGAGGGATCGTAGAGTCGATAGTTTCTTAAAGCAATAAAAGACAGGAAGATGTGGAGAGCCATGATCACTTAAGGATTTTGTGTGAATGGATGGCAGAACAAGGACAAATAGGGATGGTAAAGAATATAAAGATTCTTAGAGCAAAAAAAGACAGGAAGATGTGGAGAGCCATGTTCACTTAATCAATTTGTGTGAATGGATGGCACAACAGGGACAAAGAGGGATCGTAGAGTCGATAGTTTCTTAAAGCAATAAAAGACAGGAAGATGTGGAGAGTCATGATCACTTAATGATTTTGTGTGAATGGATGGCACAACAGGGACAAAGAGGGATCGTAGAGTCGATAGTTTCTTAAAACAATAAAAGACAGGAAGATGTGGAGAGCCATGATCACTTAATGAATTTGTGTGAATGGATGGCACAACCGGGACAAAGAGGGATCGTAGAGTCGATAGTTTCTTAAAGTAATAAAAGATAGGAAGATGTGGAGAGTCATGTTCACTTAATCAATTTGTGTGAATGGATGGCACAACAGGGACAAAGAGGGATCGATAGAGTCGATAGTTTCTTAAAGCAATAAAAGACAGGAAGAATCACTTAATGAATTTGTGTGAATGGATGGCAACCAGGACAAAGAGGGATCGTAGAGTCGATAGTTTCTTAAAGTAATAAAAGATAGGAAGATGTGGAGAGTCATGTTCACTTAATCAATTTGTGTGAATGGATGGCACAACAGGGACAAAGAGGGATCGTAGAGTCGATAGTTTCTTAAAGCAATAAAAGACAGGAAGATGTGGAGAGCCATGATCACTTAATGAATTTGTGTGAATGGATGGCACAACCGGGACAAAGAGGGATCGTAGAGTCGATAGTTTCTTAAAGTAATAAAAGATAGGAAGATGTGGAGAGTCATGTTCACTTAATCAATTTGTGTGAATGGATGGCACAACAGGGACAAAGAGGGATCGTAGAGTCGATAGTTTCTTAAAACAATAAAAAGACAGGAAGATGTGGAGAGTTATGATCATTTAATGATTTTGTGTGAATGGATGGCACAACAGGGACAAAGAGGGATCGTAGAGTCGATAGTTTCTTAAAGCAATAAAAGACAGGAAGATGTGGAGAGTCATGATCACTTAATGATTTTGTGTGAATGGATGGCACAACAGGGACAAAGAGGGGATCGTAGTTTCTTAAAGTCGATAGTTTCTTAAAGAAATAAAAGACAAAGAGGGGAAGATGCAATTGTGGAGAGTCATGATCACTTAATGATTTTGTGTGAATGGATGGCACAACAGGGACAAAGAGGGATCGTAGAGTCGATAGTTTCTTAAAGCAATAAAAGACAGGAAGATGTGGAGAGTCATGATCACTTAATGATTGTGTGTGAATGGATGGCAGAAGAGGGACAAAGAGGGATCGTAGAGTCGATAGTTTCTTAAAAGCAATAAAAAGACAGGAAGATGTGCAGTCATGATCACTTAATGATTTTGTGTGAATGGATGGCAGAAGAGGGACAAAGGGACAATAAAAGACAGGAAGGGATCGTAGAGTCGATGGTTTCTTAAAGCAATAAAAGACAGGAAGATGTGGAGAGTCATGATCACTTAATGATTTTGTGTGAATGGATGGCACAACAGGGACAAAGAGGGATCGTAGAGTCGATAGTTTCTTAAAGCAATAAAAGACAGGAAGATGTGGAGAGTCATGATCACTTAATGATTGTGTGTGAATGGATGGCAGAACCGGGACGTGGAGGGATCGTAAAGAGTCAAAAGTTTCTTAGAACAACAAAAGACAGGAAGATGTGGAGAGCCGTGCGCACTCACAAAAACAGATACAGGCCACAGAATTTGCAACAAGAAAGTATGACAAATGGATAATAAATAGTTGGAAACATTGTACGCGAAGGTCAGACAGAATGCGTAGCGATGGGATTTACTTCTAAGACATAGCAGGAATAGTCCTATTAAGGTTTTTATGGAAGCATCCAGAAGTGGCTTTTTTCCTAGTAACCGGCTCACGTTGAATAATGAAGATTGGCGTTTCAATATCTTGCTTAATGTTATCGTCATTAAACTCGGTTTGTGTAATCGCTACTTCCCAGTTTTTATTGCAACAGCTGCATCCGTTAATGCATGTTAATTATCCGTTGCTTCCCTCGACTTTTAAACGAATTGCACGAGACAGGATGTTCCCTGTACGAGCATGAAACCGTGACGCCGGATCAGATGAGGAATTAGCGAGATTTCCTAGAAAAGATGTCTGGACATCACATATATTTATAGATTCGAAAGAAGCTGAAGAATACATTGAGTGAAAAACTGTTAAAAACAACAAAGTTAAAGATAATCTGACGAACAAGTCGTAGAATCATGCTTATTATAAAACCCAGGTTGTGTGTGTGTGTGTGTGTGTGTGTGTGTGTGTCTGTACGTTTATATATTGGATCGGATTTCCTACATTTTTCAACCGATTTCAACAAATCTTAACAGGACTACGTAAAATTACCTTACGGTGGTTCTGACAGCGCCAAAAATTGGAAAAACACAATTGTTTTTGCACGAAATCAATTTGAAAACACGATTAAGAGGCATCGCTCTCGCGAAAATGAAAGAGGGACAACTCATATCGAGTTATACTTATTATAAAACACAGGTTGTTTTTTTGTGTGTGTGTGCGTGTGTTCGTTTATATATGGGATCGGATTTCCTACATTTTCCAACCGATTTCAACAAAACTTCACTTTTTTTTGGCAGTTAGTGTTTCTTATTGTCTTGCACACTTTTTTCTTTATTTTTACATTCAGAATGCTTTAAAAATTCCATTTACAAGACAATTGTTTATAATAAAATTCTATTCAATCGATAGACTCATAACGATTGAAAACAATGTTTTTGTTTCAGTTTGGGTTTGACCAATTCGTAAAAAAAAACAAAAAACAAATTAAGACATGCGTGTCTGTCAACCTTAAACAATAATCTTTGTCAATTTTATTTTTCAATCTTTATGATGGTCGATACTTGATCTATCTCTTACTATTACATCGCCGGGCAACGCCGGGATCTACTGCTAGTAAAGAATATTCTTTCGTCGATAGAAAGCTGAATGACTAATTTGTTAAATAAGAGTACTTTAGCTAAAGTCAGTGAAATATATTATGATTGAAAACAGCCCACTATAGTACAACTGACTCAAACAGAAGATAGATAGATAGATAGATAGATAGATAGATAGATAGATAGATAGATAGATAATATTAGTGGTCAATATATATATATAAATTCCCAAGAGGATAGAATTCAGGTAGAACTCAATGTCCAGGACAGAGTAAGAATATAATAAAAAGGCTTAAACACTAATATTCCATGGTTATAATTTATTACATTGGAATTGTAATCACGATCCAAATCATCAGATCTACAAATTCAAAAAAATCAATAAAAATTTAATAAAAAGCCTAACATTCTACAATACTTAAGATACCACCAAACTAAATATGAAAACGAAATAACTGCCTAGTAAATATATTCAATATATATATATATATATATCAGTATTTATATCAATTATGTATGTAAAAAACGAAATACAACTTTTCTAAGGCAAAGACTAGAAAGATCGAAAATTAAAAACGGTGGCTGGCATGTCTGGCCACAATTGGATGCAACTGAAAGAAATGAGGAAAAGAAAAAAAAAACTAAGGAGTGGGTGTAATGTGTGGAGGAAAAACGAAGAAAAGGACAAATGATCACAACATTCTACACCAACGCACATCGGTGCAAACGGTGGGTGGGGCACACGCGCGAACGGTCATTGGCATAGACGGTCGCATGCGCACAAAGGCGCGCACCGACCCGAACAATAATGAAGAAAAACTTACACGAATGATAAGTGCATGCAATCACAAAATATAAGTTGTCAGTAGCGGATAAACCCTGAAGAGTTGTCAGACAGGACCGACAACGAAACTCTTGAGTCGAGATGCTGAAGGTAACAATAATCAGCTGACAAACTTTTACTGATATATATATATATATATATATATATATATATATATATATATATATATATATATATATATGGTTGATAGATGTGAGTTTGTGACCCTGGGTTTCACGCTTTAGCGATTTGTCTGAAGATCGCTAAAGCGTGAAACCCCTGGGTCACAAACTCGCATCTATCCAACCAAATATGTTAGCTCTATCTCTGATATTGAGCGCTTTCTAATAAGCACTGCGCATATAATATATAAATAATTATACATACTTATATTTATTTATATTTATATACACTTTTCACACACACACACACACATATATATATATATATATATATATATATATATATATTAGGTTAGTGCAAAAATAATGACGTAATAATGTCGTTTTTTGACGTATTTTTAACGTCGAAAAACGACATTATTACGTCATTATTTTTGCACCAACCTTATATATATATATATATATATATATATATATATATATATATATATATATATATATATATATATGCCTTTATATATATATATATATATATATATATATATATATATATATATATGAAGAAATATACTCTTAAGGTGTGCTATATTTATGGGATAAAGTGCTCAATATCAGAGATAGAGCGCCTGTAAATATGAAAGTGAACATTTAAGTCAACAATTAGAGGTGACAGGCTGTTTTCATGCTAGACGCAATCGTCAGGCCTGACGTGGCCTGACGATTGCGTCAATGTTCACTTTTATATCTATATATATCAATGTTCCCTTTTATATTTATATATATATAGTAAAGCCATATATATATATATATATATATATATATAGTAAAGTTAACAAATCCGTTGGTATATAATCCAAGTGGAAAAAATCCTATACGGCAAAGTTTTCTACGGCGAAAATTTTTAAGGCGTGTTTTCCTACGGCAAAAATGATTACGGCGAATGTTCCTAGAACTGGTCAAGAAATAGCAACATAGCTCCATTTTTTGGTTTCATCTGGCTCTTGTAAAGAGAGTATAACTGAAAGAATAAGATCCTTAGTAGAACACTACAATTGTCATTAGAAAGAATTAAGTACAATTTATTTTTGACTAATTTCATTACGAAAAAATATTACATTTCAGAATCTGTCTATATTTCTGAGATGAGGTATTATGTACATTATTTACATTATTCGGATTATTGTCCTCATCTTTGTCGTCATATTTATCACAACGTTTCGGCCGTTGTACGCTCCGGCCTTCTTCAGGTGGTTGGAATGTCGAACTGAACCCTTTATTTCGCTCTCACTGGGGTAGACTGTTCTAGTTCCACAACGACACATGGCACAGTGGATAAAGGCGTTGGTTAGATCCAGTGACAGGACCCAAAGAGTGTGAGTTCAATACCCGGTTAAGGCAGTGGAGAACTTTCAGAGGGAAATTAACAGGAGATAACTGATAACTGACATCCATTAAAAACATCGCACGTGGAACTAGAACAGTCTACCCCAGTGAGCGAAATAAAGGGTTCAGTTCAACATTCCAACCACCTGTAGAAGGCCGGACGTTGTGATAAATATGGCGACAAAGATGAGGAAAATAGTCCGAATAATGTAAATAGTGTACATTTCAGAAGTATGTATGAAGGCAAACCAACTTTTTCAGTTACCTAAACAGAAAATTTCATAATCTTCCTGTTGCTTAATACTTTGCTTAGCTTTCTGGGAACTGACAACAGACTAAAAGACAGACACAGATGGAGGACACACAAACAGACACACAATATGAGATTTCAGGGTCGTCAACAGCAAGAAATTCCATGACTTTTAGGAACTTTCCTGATTTTTCCTTGATTTCCAGTTTTCTCTGACCATTGGTCACCTTGTCTTAAGCAAAGTTTCTTTCAAACGAGACAACGGAAACAAAGTGTGAAGTAATTTTTTTGTCATGTAATTCTCAAAATCTTTCAGTAATACCTTATATTTTTAATATAAATTTCTGAAAAATGATACATCAGATTGGCCAAAAAGTTTGTCTTTTTTCTTTTACTAATGTTCACCCAATACAAGGCCCGAGGGTAACTCAAGGTAGAGGTTACTGTGTGATGTTGTATAAGCATAAGAAAGGGTAACCAATGAAGCTTATGAGTTATGTGGGAAAGATAATGGTTAACCTTAGGTCAAGATTGAAAACATTCTGCCACTGTTCCACAAAGCTGCATTTATTAGGAAGAAGCTGTCCAAATGGAACTTTCTTCTTACTATTGGAATATGAAAGGAATGGAGAAGAGCAAATTAAAAACATCCCGGACCGGATCCTAACCCGCAACCCTGAAATTTTGGGTTCCCAAGTTTTCATTACTGTGATTATTTTCGGATTCCGCCATCTTGGCTTCTACTGGTAAAAACAATTAAAGAGATACAGTTTTTCAAAATAAAATTGTCTGCTTCCAACTTTGCTCCTAGAGGCTATAGCACAACATATCACACCATTTTAGAATCCGTGAGCAAATTAAAAACATTCTCGGGCCGGATCCGGACAAGGAATCCTGATATTCTGGATTTTTTTTTTATTACTGTGATTGTTTTCGTCGATATTTTTAAGTGATTTTTTAAACGAATTTCTCTGTACAATGACAGTTTTTATAACTTGGAAATAAACTTGTGAATAATCGAAAATAATTGCGAAACCCAGTGAAAGTCACCCATGAAATAAAAAGATAATTGTTTGTACGGAAAGTAAGGACCTACGTACATCAAGTTGTCTTTACATTAAGTGGCGGCAGAAGAATTATCGTTGAACTTTCAAAAGGTAAGCTTAAATATTAATGCAATACATAAATACAGCTATCATTTTGAGTTATTCTGTACTTTATTGTTGCCTATCGCATCTACTTCTCCCTACCTATTGTGATGAAGGCACAATTAAGAGACCTCCCCTTTATGCCCAAATATATATATATATATATATTTAACTGGATATATATATATATATATATATATATATATATATATATATATATATATATATATATTAAACTGGATATCGGTTAGTCATAAAATGTACCACTTTAAGAAAATATACATGTTGTGATAGGATCCACCTAACTTGCATAGTGGAGTACCGACCATATAAATATGGTTGGTACCGGGAAGACAGGGGGGGGGAATCAAGAGATTCAATCCAGAGACTCTGCCCGACTGCGACTAAGTCAACACATTCTCCAGGAACGGTCTTCCCAGGAATGGTCTTCCCATGAATATACAAAAGACTATATGTAAATATTGTGTACCTTTCTTGTTTCAATACATTTTGTTCTAAGTACATTTTGTGTTGTATTATTATTCCATGCATTAGTCAAGTTTCAACAATGGCGACGAGGATGAGATTACATATTGATTTCGCTGGTCCTGTAGAAGATTATTACTACTTAATAGTGGTAGATAGTTTTACAAAATGGCCGGAAGTACTACGCTGCAAAAAGCCTACGTCCAATACCACAACAATACATTACTAGAGTTTTTTTTTTGGCAATATGCTGACGTGTGTTGAAATCGTCAAAGTATTTAGTTATCAATAACATTTTTGTTAAGAATTACTAACTCTACGTTTCATTCATTCTTGCAAACCAATCGACGAAATTTGAATAAGCTGATTTGTTTGGAAAGATACATTTACAAAAAACCTACTTAGCGGTATAACAATCTCTTTAATTTCATTTTATAGGACTCCATGGTAAACAATATTTTTTAATAAAATTTACTTTTTTTTCCTTTTTAACAGCGAAGAATAAATCCTTAGGATTTCTTACTCTAGAGCATGCAATATACAACTGGCCATGCGTAAATATTTCTTCCTGAAGCCAAATTCCAAATTTTTAAAGCGTTTGGCCTTTTGGTTTGTTTTTAGTTCTCGCAAACGCAGGGCGAACTGGAAAGTGGATTCTTGTATATAAAAACTTATAGAAAACATACGCAAAAAAATATGACATTTTTTTTATTAAATAGGTATTTATTTTAATCATTAATTTTTTTTTTTTTAAATAGTGGGAGTATTTTGTGTGCTAAAAATAGAACTTTTAATTTTTCAAACCAAAAAAGGAAAATTTATTGTACTAAGCTACACACTCTCGTAAATCCCATACATTTTACTCCCTTAACTATTTGCACTTCTCCCCAAAATTTGATTTCGATCGGCCAATATATGGCTATTTTAGAGGGTGTGACCGACGGACTAACTGAAGTCACTGAATTATATATATATATCGTCTACAAACAGTCTGTCCTGACACATTAACACATGAGGTACTATTCATAACCCTTTTAATTTCTGTGCAAGACTTAAAACGGTCCTTTAATAACATACGCTGCATTATTCGATCTTCTCTTACCGAAGTTTTGCGGGGTCTGCCGGTTTTAAAAGCACTAACTATTTTGCCAGTATCATTGTAGGATTTAACAACCCTGCCTACAACACTCTTGGAACGTTTCACTTTCTCTGAAATCTCTCTAATGGTGTGCTTTTCCTTGTGTAGCTTCACAATAGCTTGTCTCACAGAGTAATCACGTTTTTGGCGTTTCGCCATGGTGCCGGCTGATGCAACGTTTACAAATGACTAAGTAAGACTTATTCTTTAGAGGAAATCAAAACATTTGAATATAGCATACTGTTTACATTGTCTTTCTCAATTTTGTCCCTTACTTTTGGACGATCCTATTTTGAAAATAAATAAATAATTGTTATAATTCTTTTTCTATCCTTTGCAAATGATTCAAATTTTAGTATGTTATTATGGATGATAACGACTACCAGTTGTCAAAATTTAAGCTTTTCACAGTTGTTATTTCTAACAAATATTAGGTTTTAAAATTTTGTCCCTTAGTTTTGGACGCTACTGTATATATATATATATATATATATATATATATATATATATATATAGAGAGAGAGAGAGAGAGAGAGATAAATAGATATAGATATATAGATAGAGAGATACATCCGCTATTTTAGAGGGTGTGATGGACGGACTAACTGAAGACACTGAATTATATATATATATAGATATAGATAGATAGATAGATAGATAGATAGATAGATAGATACGTACATCCGCTATCTTTCTAGCAGCTGTATTTTAGGTGGTGTGACGGACGGACTAACAGAAGACACTGATATAGGGGTTTCTTCATTGCTATTTTGTGAATGGGATCTGAACGGCAAAATAATTTCCAGTGGGGTCTCCCGATGCCATGATGAAGTGTACAGTTATTGTTGTACACCCCCTCCCTTCATGCTGAGATTTCAAATGTCTCAATTCGATAATAATGTTGCATCTTCCCTCTCGGCCGGTGATCGTCAGATGTTTGGGATCCAACTATAAAATACACCAACGCAGAGCATTTTACCTTAACCATTTTATTAATGTCGACATGTACTAACTCTCCAGCGGGGATCGTTCTCACTCACTGGGGAGCCATTTCAGACACGAAAGACAACATTGTTTGACGGTTAAGATTCGACTTGCTAAAAAAAAAAAAAATTCTCTATCTTTCGAAAAGCTAGCTCAGTCAATCAAAATCGTCTCCCTTATTATGGCTTCCGTCTGACCTCGAAGGTCAACCCCCGGAAGCCAGAACAGAGATACACTAGCTCTAAATAATAATAGTCTTCTAAAATATTATTTAACATTACGGCTGTGTTCTCTGACAACTGATTCTTTTCTTTCTTTGCACATAGCACTTGAGGACAGGGTAAGTTCTATTCGGAGAGCTTCTTCCTTCAAACCGTTGTTTTGGAGAACAGACCCCCAAAAACATATTCCTCCGACCACAACAATCTTAACCTCTTCAAGCCCACTGTCAACCGTGACTTATCCTACATATCCCTATAATCAGAAGTTCTTACCCTATCCCAGGGGCCTGCAATACCAGAGCCACATCCAGCCCGTGAATGATTTTTTTTTTTTTGTCCGGCCCTCCTGGATACAAATTATCTAATTAATTTGAGGAACAAGTGGCAGATAAAGATATTAGTTGGAGTTAATCAGTGCCCAATTTGGAAGAACAAGGTTGGATGATGACCACCTCTATAATTTTTCACCCACTGTCTTCATAGCTCCTTCATATTCCTCTGATAAGCTTCAATTACTTTGTATATGCCTGTGGTAACTTTGCTGAGTGTATCCCAATGGGCTATGGAGTTATTCACAGTTGGTCAGATCGTTTAGCGCTGTGATCAGCAACCCCCAGCAAACATCTGTCTATCAAAGGATTTTTTTTGTCCAGCCAGCTAAATTAATACCTGGACACTAATTATCTAATTAATTTGTGGAGCCAGGGGCAGAGAAATATCAGTTGGGTTTAATCGATTTGCAATGCAACGGGTTTTTGAAATCAATATTTAATTCTGAATCTGTTGCTGATTTCTGCAAGAAATGTGTTTCACCCAGCGGAAAATAGAAAAGCCTATTGAATAATGTGAAGAAAATAGTATCATTACTTTGGAAGTACATATGGTGGTTATCAAAAGGGGACTTAGATGTGGCATAAGGCCGAAAGTACGGGGTACCCAGTAAAGATCGAACTCCCTGATCAGTGATATCCGTTCTAGTGAGACTAGCTCGCTAACCATTACACCACGTCGAGATGCTCAATTTGGAAGAACAAGATTGGGTGATTACCACCTGTATAATGTTTTACCCACTGTCTTCATAGCTCCTTCATATTCCTCTGATAAGCTTTAATTACTTTGTATAAACATACACCCGTGCCTGTGGTAACTTTGCTGAGTGTATCCCCACGGGCTATGGAGCTATTCGCAGTTGGTCATATCGTTTAGGGCTGGGATCAGCAACCCGCAGCCCACATCTGTCTCTCAAAGGATTTTTTGTCTCGCCCGCTAACTTAACACCTGGACACTAATTATCTAATTAATTTGTGGAGCAAGAGGCAGAAAAATATCAGTTGGGGTTAATCGATTTGAAATGTAACGGGTGTTTTGAAATCAAAATTTAATTCTGAATATGTTGCTGATTTCTGCAAGAAATGTTTTGCCAAGCGAAAAAATAGAAAAGCCTATTCACTAATAGGAAAATGATAGTATCATTATTTGAAAGTACATACGCTTGGAAAAAAACAAACTTTATTTAAAAAATGAACTATACCAAAAGTTGTTTAAGAACAAGATTGAGTGATAACTACGAGAATAACGTTTTGCTCCTGCCATCGACAATTAAAGGCTGTTCCAATTACCTGGAACGATTTAAAATGTGAATTAATTTTAAGGGTTTAATGATTTTTTTTTCCTTTTTCTTTCAGATTTAACAACTTAAGAATTTGCAGTGTTATTGTTGTTTAAAAACAGTCAAATCGACCTTACTAACCGAAACGCTCCTCTATGGCCCAATCGGTTAAGGCAGGTCAGGCTACATAACGGTTCCGTATAGGATACAGGTTCGATTCCTGTCAGAGGACGCATATTCTCTATGAAAATTTCTCGGACATTCAGGCCGGTAAATGTTGTAATACTGTTTATTATAAACAAAGCATTTACTTAAATATTTGTATCTATAAAAATAACGTATAAACATAAAAAATGTCTTTATATATACTCAAATTTTGTATATTTAGGCAGCAATTTTTCATTGATTCATGTTTCATTAAATAATATAGACAAGTTTAGTCTATTTATTTTAAGTTCCTTTCATATTGTCTGATAAGCTTAATCACATTATCGTTGAAAGACGAAAGGAAATCACCATATTGATACATGTTTAAATCCGATCTATTCTTCCGGCTTACATAAGCCATTATCAAAGATGACAATTACTTTTCAAGATATCAACCAATACACGCAACAATAATGATAGTGTTTTTGTTGCATGAAAAATTTCAAAGCAACGACTAACTCTTGTATACGAGACGCGGAAGCGAAAATCGCGTCGCATCTCGTGACGTCACACATGACCACGCGAGAGTGAAAACGAGATGTATTAAGTATGGGAAGCCGTTGGTAATAAACCATATATATTCGTGTGTGTCTGTGTGTGTGTTTCTTGATACTGTTATTCGCATGTTCGCAGAGAGGGGTCTGATTCCCCAGTATGAATGTAGACATAGACCTGTGTCTAACATAAAGGACCAATTATAAGCAATAGCCGTAGAAATCGTGTACGGAAAAAAATCTTTGCTATCGACATAAAGGCTAATCCCCTTTTAGGCTCAAGACCATTCACGCGACGACAGGAAGCAAGAACTGGCGACCACTTTTTCCCTTCAAAAAGAAAGAAAGAAAAAAAAAGAAGAAATATGTCCGTGGGAACCGTTTTCGCGCACATCAAAAATATTTCTACAGATCCGTCTCTGTGGTCAGTGGGTTTATGTCGGATATTTCACACTGAGCCGGGAAGAAATCCTGAAACATGAACCTGTTTCTTCTCGCTGCGTGACGTCACCACTGGTCGCCGCTGATGTTTCTTCCTTGCAAGTGGCCTCGTCGATGCATGGCGGGGTTGCATCAAATAAAGAAAAAAAAAGAAAAATGATTCTAGCATTTCTTTGCCCAAATAAAGAATTTAGTCGTGAAGGGCGACAGACAATTACGTGGAATATTAACTCTTTAATAGGCATCCTTTGATTTGAAGTCATAAAGCAGATCCATGAAGGGAGGGTTACCGGCCCTACCACGAAATATTGATCAGATTTTGGGATTGGGGTCGGGACGAAAACATATCAGCACCCTACACGTATCAAAGATATTTACCCGTATATAACGGCTCCCTACTCTAAAGGCTGTCAATAGAGGTAATCGCTTCAGTTTTCTTTTTTTTTTTTATATATATACGATTACTAGAGCTGATGCTATCTTGTGCTCGGTATATCATTATCACCTAAGTTAAGCAACCTCGAACCTGGTCAGTATATGGGTGACCGCTTGTAAATACAAGGCGTTATAAGCTTGGATATGCGGGTGGTATGGCTTAAGATCATATCACGTTCAAACACCGCTTCTCTTAAGATTACCGAAGTTAAGCAACGCAAAACTGGTCAGTAACTAGATGGGTGACCGCTTGGGAATACCAGGCGCTGTAAGCTTGGATACGCGGGTGGTATGGCTTACGGCCCTATCACGTTCAAACACTGGTCACCCAAGTTAAGCAACCTCGAATCTGGTCATATATGGGTGACCGTTTGTGAATGCCAGGCGCTATATGCTTGGATATGCGGGGGGGGTAGGGCTTAAGACCATATCACGTTCAAACATCGGTTCTCTTAAGATCACCGAAGTCAAGCAACGTCGAGATAGGTCAGTGACTAGATGGGTGACCGCTTGAGAATACCAGGCGCTGTAAGATTGGATCTGCGGGTGGTATGGCATACACGGTTCCCGAACATTCATTGACGTTAAGCAACATCAAGTTTGGTCAGTACCTAAATGGGTGACCGCTTGAGAATATCCGGTGCTGTGAAATTGGATCTGCGCGAATTGAAAATCGGAGAGCCGTGTTCTAATTCTAGTCGATTTCATTAACATAGGATTTGCGGTTACATCTAGCCATTTTATCTATAGAATTATGAGACCCCACTGACAAACTAATATTGCACATACATTCACAATAAATCCTATCAGTGATAAAGACATCTTACATAAATGGCTAGTAAATAATTTGCAATGCATTCCTATAGTAAAATCATTTGCAATGAATTTCTATCTATGCTTTTAGTATTTACTATGTCACTATATATGTAATCATTAGATGGAATGAAAGTTTGGATGGATTTGTTTAATAAATCCTATCAGTGATAAAACAGCTTACATAAATGGCTAGTAAATAATTTGCAATGCATTCCTATAGTAAAATCATTTGCAATGAATTTCTATCTATGCTTTTAGTATTTACTATGTCACTATATATGTAATCATAAGATGGAATGAAAGTTTGGATGGATTTCTTTAATAAATCCTATCAGTGATAAAACAGCTTACATAAATGGCTAGTAAATAATTTGCAATGCATTCCTATAGAAAAATCATTTGCAATGAATTTCTATCTATGCTTTTAGTATTTGCTATGTCACTATATATGTAATCATTAGAGGGAATGAAAGTTTGGATGGATTTGTTTATGAAATCCTATCAGTGATAAAACAGCTTACATAAATGGCTAGTAAATAATTTGCAATGCATTCCTATAGTAAAATCATTTCCAATGAATTTCTAGAGATTCTATCTATGCAAATACAATGAGGTTAGAGACTTAGTTGAGATATTCACATAAGTTCTTCATCCTTTTTAGAAGAAAGAAAACGTACATATTACCCTAGGACAGGGGTCGCCAACATTTTGTTAACTATATGCCGAGTTAGGGTTTTAAAATCATTCAGTGTGCCAACAGCATACGTATTTTTATACAAGGTCAACATAAATGTCCTACAATATATTTTATACAGTAATATATAGCATGTATACTTTAGTATATAATATTTATTAAAAATTATAACGTAAGCATGTTATAACATCACGACGAAAATAGCCATTTTGTTTCAATTCTTCTTGTCAAGACACCAGAAGTTTTGAAAGAAAATGGCTATTTTGTAGTGATTTAATTTTTAAATAAATATTATTCGTTCTACTTTGTATTGAGCACTTTTTTTCAAAATAGAGTTTTTGGCTACGGGAATTTTATTACATCTACACCAACCTTGTATTCGGATATTTTAGCATATATTAAAATTGAAACAGCTAAAAATATTTGCGTTGTAGTATTTATTGGTTCGGACTTCATGATATCATTTGCGTCTGCGTGCGATTAGAAATTGATTTGCGTGCCACCTGTGGCACGCATGTGGTAAGCTGCCGACCCCTTCCCTAGGAAATAGCACCTTTGGGGGACTAAGATTTTTGCGCAGAATTCTTGATTATTTCAAGAAGGTATTTTGGGGTGAAATGATGAAAAACTAGTTTTATTCCAGGTTTTTTTCTCTCTATGTTAATGATGATGATTATATTTTAATGATGATGATTACATTCTTGAAATATTGGTTTAACAAATACAAAATAATTCAATAAATTTAAGTTTTTATTCCATACTAGCAGCATGACCCGGCGTTGCCCGTGCTTGATTCAAAAATAGTACGACTCATACAGCAATCGCTATCACTTGACTTAAAATATTTTTGCCCTTCCTTGCCTTTAAAGGAGTGCCCTTTGCTGTGCTGATGTTGCTACATGCCTTACTTCTTGCCTATCTCACACTGCGAATTTTTTCTAAGCTCTATACTAAACATTAAATCTGTTACGAAAAAAGAACTAAACAAAATGAACACAAAACGATCAGCTTTAAAAAAGGACTCATAACTGGAAAAATCGAATGAAAAAAGAATATTAACAACAAATACTTTTTCACACCCAACCCAGTTCTGCATAATCAGAATCAACATTGAGTTTAAGCAATCGAATGAGCCAATTGTGGTAAAGTGTCATGCAGATTTATATTTTTCCCACTTGTGACGAATGCAGCTATCGATTTTTTTGCATGCTAGCATGTTAGTTAACATTCGTGTCAGTCAGCTGTTGGCTCTCATGCTGGCCAATAGAATCTTCCTGCCTATTCGTGGCAGCCAGCTATAGGCTTCCACTCTGGCCAGTAGAAAATGGCTGCAAACTACATGAAAACTGCCGTATAAGCATGAAAAAATCGATTATATCTACTATCGATGGGAGTTGGGAAATGCAAGGACGGTCTTGGCCTTTCCGCTAACTTGGAGCATGTGCATGTAAATTTTGGTGCAAATCCATCGAAAATTGCGGCCGTGCATTCGTTACACACACACACACACACACACATTCTGCCTTTTATAGATAGAGATATAAAAAGGCGACATTATTTTCTCAAAAACCTAAAACAAACAAACATATTTTACATTAGAATTTTTGGATATTAAGATATTAACATCATATTTTTTTCCCAGATGTTCTTTCAAAAAGGTGTCAAAGATTTAGACTTTATACTAGTTTTTTTTTGAGGGGGGGTTAAGTATGTTCTTGATAAATAACTTTAATTTTTATTACATTTTAACAAGTATTCTTCGATTCAGAAAAATGCGACATTCCTTTTTAAACAACCGAATTCATCATTCAATTCCAATTTACAGCGTGCGAGGTCAGAATAAGGACGTAAAATGAAAACTCCATTTTTGGTATTATTTCGTTTCTTTTCTTTTTTTTCTTTTTTTTGTCTTTGTCTGGTGCAAATCTAGACAGATGAGGCCGAAAACGATTCAATGAATTCATGTTCTCTATTGTTGAACGTCTGAGTCAACACTGATGTAATCAACCTTCGCCGTTTTCATTATTATCCTCTTGTTGTTTTTTTGTTTTTTTTTTTTAATTCACGCTATGGCAGACAACCAGACACACGTGAAAGAAAATAATAATAATAATAATAATAATAATAATAATAATCGAAATGAAGTCTTAAAAAGGGTAATAATAAAAATCCCCTTTGTAATTTCTTTTAAATTAATTTATTCTGGCCGACTTTGCTGAAAACGGCTTTATTTACAGACAATAGAAAGTCTCGTCTGCTTTACTGAATCAGTTGGCTGCTAATATCTCAGGATAATAATAATAATAATAATAATAATAATAATAATAATAATAATAATAATAATCATAATAATAAAAACGACTTACCCAACAAAAAACTTTTTTTTTTATCAGAGTAAATAAATAAATCACGAACAAAAATGATTTTCATTGTTTCTTTACTATTTTATTTTTTTGTTTTTTTTTTAAGGAGATGATGTAATCAGATTTGATTTCACGCTCGTTCAGGTGTTTCATTAATAGTTTAATAGAGTTAACAGTGACTTCTTATTTTTGAATTACAGGTCGGGGATCCAACAGGTGTCCGTTGGTTTTAAGAAATCCCAAAAGCTTTATACTATAAAGACAAAGAAGTAAAATTCTAATTTTCCATCAGTTTGAATATAATGTCTCTCTCCCTCTCTCTCTCTCACAAACACACTCTCTCTCTCTCTTTCTCTCTGTATAGATAGATAGATAGATAGATAGATAGATAGATAGACAGATAGATAGATAGATAGATATGAACAGACCGAGATAGATAGATAGATAGATAGATAGATAGATAGATAGATATGAATAGACCTTAGATAGATAGATACAGTGTATCACAAAAGTGAGTACACCCCTCACATTTCTTCAAATATTTAAGTATATCTCTTCATGGGACAACACTGGCAAAATGACACTTTGACACAATGAAAAGTAGCCTGTCTGCAGCATATATAACAGAGTTAATTTCTTTTCCCCTCAAAATAACTCAAAATATAGCCATTAAAAGCTAAATCCCTGGCAACAAAAAGTGAGTACACCCTAATAAACTACACCCTCAAAAAAGTGAGTACACCCTAAGAAACTACACCCCTAAAAGTGAGTACACCCTAAGAAACTACACCCCTAAATGTCTAAATTGAGTACTGCTTTTCATTTTCCCTCCAAAATGTCATGTGACTCATTAGTGTAACTATGCCCATGTGTTCATCGGGAGCAGGTGTATTCAAATTTGTAGTGCAGCTCTAACACTCTCTTACCGGTTACTGAAAGTTCCAACATGGCACCACATGGCAAAAGAACTCTCTGAGGATCTTAAAAAACGTATTGTTGCACTACATAAAGATGGCCAAGGTTACAAGAAGATTGCCAACACCCCCTGAAACTGAGCTGCAGCACAGTGGCTAAGATCATCCAGCATTTTAAAGAGCAGGGTCCCTCAGAACAGGCCTCGGGTAGGTCGTCCAAAGAAGCTGAGCGCACGTGCTGAGCGTCACATCCAAATGCTTTCTTTGAAAGATTGGCGTAGGAGTGCTGTTAGCATTTCTACAGAGATTAAAGAGATTGGGATTCAGCCTGTTAGTGTTCAGACCATACGCCGCACACGACATCAAATTGGTGTGCATGGCTGTCACCTCAGGAGGAAGCCTCTTCTGAAGGCAATACACAAGAAAGCCCGCAAACAGTTTGCTGAAGACATGTCAACAAAGCCCATAGATTACTGGAACCATGTCCTATGGTCTGATGAGACGAAATTTAATTTGTTTGGTTCTGATGGCCTTAAGCATGTGTGGCGGCGACCAGGTGAGGAGTACAAAGATAAGTGTGTCATGCCTACAGTCAAGCATGGTGATGGGAATGTCATGGTCTGGGGCTGCATGAGTGCTGCGGGTATTGGAGAGTTACATTTCATTGAGGGAAACATGAACTCCAACATGTACTTTGAAATACTGCAGCAGAGCATGATCTCTCCTCCAGAAACTGGGTCGCAAA